TGGTGCAAACAACAGAAAGCCAAAGGAAAGAAACTGGATAAGATTCTCATCACCTTCGTTGCTTGCCAGCTAGCTACAATAAAAAAATAAAAAAAAATAAAAAAACAAGACCTTATTATTATTATTTATATTTATTTATTTTTTACTAAAAAAGGGAGTATATTATATCATCACAAGCTGGGAAACGGGCCCAGCGTCCCTCACATCAATGGCCATGGCCTGCAGGGATGAACCAGGCTCTCCGACCTGGAGTAACCCCACCACGGCTGAGTCACATCACTAATTAACATCACACACTAATTAGCCTAACTAGCTTAACCTCGGTAACCCTAACACTAAACACAAACCAAACTGAGTCACACCATTAATTAACATCACACCCTAATTATCTTTTATTATCTCTAATTAACATCGATAACCCTAACACTAAAGCACAAACAAACTAGCGTCTATTAAACTTTATTCACCGAAGTCTAAGCCCTTCGGCCGGGGATAAACCAACCATGGCTGAGTCACACCATACTTAACAGTGTTAAAAGTAATTTAACATCACCCTTATTATTTCTAATTATCGTCATTAACCTTAACACTAAGGCACAAACCAACTATTGTCTAATAAACTTTAAACACCCGAGTCTGAACCCTGAAGTAATACATGATTATAGCCAGTACGAGCATAACAAGCGCGTCCGTGAACATAACCAAAACATAATTATGCGATCAGACTCGTTTTCAAACACACTTTTCATGCATGTAAACAGCAACGCAGCATACTGGCGACATGCGCCCACTCAAAACTCAGAGATATGGCTTTCAGATACGAGTTCACTCTCAATTGGCTATGGCGACTTCAGCGCCCAAACATCTCCCTGTTCACATACACTGGATCACCCTGGATATCCCACACGCATCACTCTGAATACTCGACACACACACACACACTCTCTACTAACTACAGCTATGGCAGCTGTCGCTGCATCTACCCTATCGCTATGCTAACTCCCTCTCTCTAGCCCACTGCGTCCTCCGGGCTCATCTGCAGACCTCCTTGCACAAGCCGCTGTGGCAGCGCTTCCACATGGCTCACGCAGGAATGAATGAATGGCTGGGCGCTGCCTCTTGATTTATACTTCAGAAACTCGTTGGTCTGCCCTTTGCCATCGGCCCATGGTGCTTACAGTCCCCCTGTGGTACTTGCTGGACCGGACTGGGACTGATTGGACCTTCCGCTGACTGACTGTGGACTCACCGCCATCCTACCGACGTTGTACTGCTGTTGCACTGCGGTTTAGTCCACCACTTGCCTCGCCACTTGCCCACTTGCCCACTTGCCCACTTGCCTATCTTCTAGAAGGTCTACAGCTAAGCTTCCAGAACTCACTAAGACTCCTACGCTATAGACCTACAGATCGAACCCCTGCTGCCTATGGACCTACGACAGGCCTACCAACTGCCTCCGGATACACAGGTCACAGGTTCAATTCTCGGGGTCTACACAGATACTGTACATGGGTAGGGTGAGGTCTAGGGATCGAACCCTGGGTGCTGCATCCGCTACTGCTAAAAGGTGAAAACCGTTTCACTCCCGCCGTCCTAAATTCGAGGTCCTCCGAGAAAATTTTAGTCCAAGGCGGGACCTTTACCTTTCTTGTCATGCTCATAGGCTCTGACTATGTCGGGAGCAGTCTCTAGAAGTTCTACTTTCGTGAACCAGCGGTCGTCTTCTGGTTCCTGATAGGCAAACCGGACTTTATACTGCTTCTGGGGACGACCTCTACCTCCTGGACTAAACACATCCTCTTCTACAATGTCGTCTATGTTATAGCTCCCATCCATATCCGGTGGGATCATGGATCTCCTGGAAGGGAACTGTTGACTAGTGACACACGGCAGCAGCTTTGAAGCATGGAACACAGGGTATGTGTGGAGGTGTGCTGGAATCTCAATGCTGTAGGACAGTCCATCCTCTCCGCCCTTGACTTCTAGAATCAGCCACGGTCCTCTATATGCAGGCAGTAACTTCTGCGAGATGTTTTCTTCCGGTGCAAACTCTTTTGCCTTGACCCAAACTAAGTCGCCTACTTGAAACAGTGATGGGCGACGGTGCTTGTTAGCCTGCTCTATCATTCTGTGCTGGGCCTTCCGAAGGTTCTGAACAACAGTGGCTAACTCCTTTTCGTGTTGTAGTGCAAACTCCCTGGTATCGGGCGGTAATCTGTGAATCTGATCCCGGTTCAGTCCTTCGAACGGTATGCGCGGTCTAAAGGACTTGTGCAACTCATTGGGAGTGCGGTAGGTGGATAGATGCACGTTGTTGTTGTATGCACTAGCTACCTTAGGCAACATCTCATCCCAGTTAATCTGATCTGGTCTAATGTACATGCGCAGAACTTGCTGTAGGATCTTGTTCATCTGTTCTGTCTGACCGTTAGTCTCTGGGTGACGGCCGGACGACATTAACAACTTACATCCGTAGACTCTCATGAGCTCTTGCCAGTTCTGGCTGGTGAAACGACTATCTCTATCACTAACTATTGACAATGGGATTCCATTCTCACTAACCCAAAAGTCAAAGAACTTCTGCATTACTAAATCGGTACGTGCCTCTGCAGGCAAAGGAACAAAAACTGCATACTTTCTAAAACGGTCGACTATGACCATGACTTGGCTCTTACCATGTCTGCTCTTGACTTGCGTGTCCATGAAGTCTACAGACACTGAGTCTCCCGGCTGATCCGGAATAGGCAAGGGTCTGAGAAGACCTAGGGGCGCGCGTGTAGTAGACTTATTCCTCTGGCACACTTTACAACTGCGGACATACTCTATGCAGTCATTTTTCATCCCGGGCAAGGTATATGCACGCATCAGGTTGGCTAATGTCTTTTGCCAACCGAAATGCCCTTCAGTATCGTGGCATTCCCCTAAAATTAAACTGCGGATCTCTTCGCTGTTGGGAACGCACAAGCAGTCAAACACATTAGTCTTCTCAAACATCAACCCGTCTGTAGTGCGGTAATCTGGTTCAGTTTCTGGGGCCTCTCTAACTCTCTTTAGGAGGTCACTATAGATAGGGTCCTACGTATACGCTTGTCTCACTTTCTCCTGCAGGTCTCTCCCTATATCCAGATAGTGTACTACGGCTCCAAAGTAGTCTGATCTCCTACTCAGAGCATCCGCAACTACGTTGTATTTGCCCTTCACTTGCTTGAGCTCAAAGTCGAATTGGTCTATCTCTCCGGCCCACCTAGTCAACTTAGGTGTCATCTTGGCCTGAGTCTTTAACCATCTAAGCGTTTCGTGGTCCGAATACACTTTGAAATGCCTCCCAAGCAGATAGTGTTTCCAATGGTCTAAAGCCTGCCGGAGAGCGTAGAGTTCTCTCTCGTACGTGGAGGTAGCGACCTTCTCACAGGGTATCCTCGCTGACATGAACTCTACGGGTCTATAGCCATTGCCGTCGTCTTGCTGCAACACCGCGCCTATCCCATACTGGCTCGTGTCCGTGGTGACGACAAATGGCAAAGACGGATCTGAAACTTTGAGGACATGATACTCTATTAACGCGCGTTTTAGCTTCTTGAGCGCAAACGTACAGTCTTTGTCTCATTGCCAGATTGCCTCTTTCTTCAGCAATCGGCGCAAGGGAGCGGCGATATTGGAGAAGTTCCTCACGAACTTCCTGCTTCCTGTAGTAGTTAGCTAAGCCTAAGAACGACCGCAACTCTGTCAATGTGCGGGGCGCCGGCCAATCTCTAATCGCCGCGATCTTGCTGTCCTCTGGCTTGATGCCATCTCCGTCTAATACGTGGCCCAAGTACAAAACTTGTGTCTTGGCCCACTCGCACTTCTTCGCGTTGATCTTGAAGTTAGCCTCTCTAAGCTTCTCCAAAACCTGCCTCAGATGACCCTGACGCTCCTGGAGGGTCTTACTAAAGACTAGGATATCATCTAAGTAGACTACCACAAATTTATCTAACCACGGTCTAAACAGGTCATTCATGCAACGCTGAAAAGTAGCTGGCACGTTGGTCAGTCCAAAGGGCATCACTATAAACTCATAATGCCAATATCTAGTCTGGAATGCAGTCTTGTACTGATCATCAGGATGGACTTCTATCTGATGGTATCCGGACTTTAAGTTTATCTTAGAGAAATACTTACAACCCTGCACCCGATCCAAAAGATCGTTTATCCTGGGCAGCGGCTCAGCATTCTTCACGGTGATTGCATTCAAACCCCTATAGTCTATACACATTCTCAGCTCTCCTTCCTTCTTAGGGACAAACAAAACGGGTGCTCCAAAAGGAGACGAACTGGGCCTGATCCAACCTTTCTCAAGAAGTTCGTCTAACTGTTTGCGAAGCTCCTCTAACTCTCTAGGGGACATCCTGTAGACTGCACCCTTGGGAGTTCTGCTGCCAGGCTCTATCTCTATCCTATGCTGGATGGGTCGCGACACTACTCCTGTCGGCGACTCAGTCAAGTCTTTGAATTCTTCCAGCAGCTTGGCAATTGTTAGATCTGTGGAACTATCCTTTTCTTGGGCCTCAGTGACAGGTCTAACATAAACTACAAAGACCTGGTCTTCTAACTGCTCCTTCTTTACTAATCGCGCGAACACGGAAGCACTGAGACAACAATGTGCCAAGGTCTTGTCTACACCCGACACATGGAACAAGCGGGCAGTCTTAACTTTGCCTGCCGAACTAGGGAGGACACCCTACACACATGCTCTCTCAAATGAAGTGTGGCCCCTGCTGCCTCTCCCCAATCCATTCCCAACACTATATCAAAAGGAATGTCATCTTGTACGAGGAGAGTTAGGGAATGGAGAACTTTCTCCACCTTCCCATCCTTCTCTAGGCGAAAGTACGTCTGGACTTTATCACCGTAGTCCTCAACTCGCATCGTGCGGTTGTCTGCGAGGACACTGACTATGGGGTCTATTAACTTCTGGACTTTTAGTCTTAACCTCAACTTCTTCAGCGTCCTACGGCTAATGTAACTACGGGTAGCCTCTGAGTCTATAAGGGCCCCTACTCTACTTCTAAACACCTCTACGTCTCTTTTCATTTTGGCCCAGGCTGGCATTCTCTCTTTTAACTCTTCTGCCACACCTGTGAGGGACGTGCCTAAAGAGACACTAACACAAGCAGTCTCTTGACAACTACCTAGGCACGGGCCTGCAACCTCTGCCATAGGCTCATGTGGGTTGGGAGTGTC